TTCTTTATAATTTTATAAAATTTATATTTATATTTTTATAGTTATTATCATTTATCATTTATTATCATTTATTACCACTATTGTTTTTTATTATCATTCTCCTAGGTTTTTGAAGATTTTCTCCCACGCACAGAGCTCTCAGCACTCTGAAAGCAGATCCAATCACAGAACACACAAGAGGTTTCGTCCAACAATAGGACAGATGTGAAAGAATCAAAATTCTGTCTGGAAAAAAATTGTTTTTCTTCTTTCAGTAGCCTCAAAACATTTCAAGCATTGTCACAGCTTGGGGGCTGAGAGTGCAGGTTCTGAGGTCAGGCTGCCTGGCGTGGGATTCCACCTTCCCTCCACAGATATTCTCAGCTATTAAGTGACTTTGGGCAAGTCGACCTCTCCAAGCTTCAGCTTCCTCATCTATAAAAAAGGGATGATGATAATCCTTCCCTGGGGATTGCGTGAGGATGAAATGAAGTAACATGTCTAATGAGGTTAAGCCAATGTCTGGCATATAGTAAGCACTCAGTTAATGATCACGTACTTGTTCAGTATCAGAGGGGTGGTGTGTACTTTAGCTGGGACAGTCATGGTGTTCAGCACTGTGACTGACTGATGGTAAATGCCAAATCAATGTTTGCCATTATTATTTTTTATTTATTTATTTTTATTTGATTTTTTTGAGACAGGGTCTCACTCTGTCTGTCACCCAGGCTGGAATGGTACAGTGGCATAATCATAGCTCACTGCATCCTCAAACTTCTGGGCTCGGCTGATCCTCCCACCTCAGCCTCCCAGTACTTTAGCTGGGAATACACCATGACACCCGGCTAATTTTTGTATTTTTTGTAGAGATGGGGTTTCACCATGTTGCCCAGGCTGGTCTCAAACTCCTGGGCTCAAGTGATTCTCCTGCCTTGGCCTCCAAAAGTGCTGGGATTACAGGTGTGGGCCACTGCACTTAGCCCCATTATTACTCTTTTTTTTTTTTTTTTTTGAGACGGCGTCTTGCTCTGTCGCCCAGACTGGAGTGCAGTGGCACGATCTCAGCTCACTGCAAGCTCTGCCTCACGGGTTCTCGCCATTCTCCTCCCTCAGCCTCCCAGGTAGTTGGGACTACAGGCACTCACTACAGTGAGCCACCGCCCATTATTACTCTTAATGTTCGGTTACATATTCATTAATCAGCAAATCTAACATAGTGAAAGGATTCTGAAAGTTGA